GTTTTATCTCTAACGAGGCGATGCGTAAGCCCTGATACATGGGGCGTAAGTTCCACGGATCTTTAAATTTTACTAATTTCAAGAATTCTAAGATAGTATAAAATAAAAAATAATTATAAAAATTACATTAAAATCAAAAATTAAAAAAAATAATCTATTTAAAATATTTATAAATTATAATTCAACTATGAATAATACGAAAAGTATGACAATATCATACTATGTAAATTAACTGCAACGTCGTTACAACTCAAACATCAAAAGTAATGTATTCGATACGAAATCTTATATGTATCTCTTAAAGATAACGAATCTTGAAAGAATTTCGATATTATAATTTATTTATTTTTTAAAATACTCTTTTTATTTAATATGCTTTCTATTTGAAAGAGAATTTCTATAAAAACATAATTCACAATGTAAATATTATTCTCTAACTCATTTATTTTTAAGTTTCAACAAGTTAATAAAGTGACACATAATTCATCATACTATACCATGATAACTAATTATTTGTAAATAGTTACTAGCTAATACTGAGCTATTAAATTATAAGTATAGTATCTCATAAACGTGAAAAATATAATATTCAGAAAAAATAATTATAAAAAAATTATGGACCTATAATAAAGACATAACAAAAGTTAATATATAAATATCTTTTAAACGAAAAATTTATTTAAAATTTACTATCATAACAGTCTTAATGGATAATTTGAAATAATTTTTATTTTAATCATGACATGAAATATTCTCAACTTGATGATTGATGATTAAGAAAAAAGTAATTTTGAATATCCAACGATTTAAGAAAATTTGAGAATTTACAAGGTTAGTTACACAATTGCATAATGTTCTCTTAGGCGAGCCCAGGACGCTGGGCGTTGGGCGTGTCCGAGGCGTAAGCCCCGACAGCCGAAGCGTAAGTCTCACGGAACTAAGCCCCACACATAAGCCCAGAGGCATTTTACAAGTGCTCCGCCCCAAGGCGAGCCCCGGGCGAGTCCCAATTCTGCCTTTTAAAACAGAGCATTAAACATTACCATTTTGTTAAATTGAGCCATGATCCACTTGATATTCTGTGTTGCTCTTCATTCAAATTTTCAATTTTTCTTGCTTTATATTCTACCTAAGCAATTGTTTATTGACTTCATTAATGTGTGATTTTGCCAACAAAAAAAAAATCTTATATCACAATTTTTGAAAAACAATTATAACAAAACTAAAAAATTCATCAAAATCTTACGGATTTTAAGCTATAAGTGAATGACTAAAAAACCAATCTATCAAAACTCCAACTATTATTGAGTAGTTATTTGTTGCAATAGCAAATAATGAGCAACAATTTATTACATAACAAAATTAGTTAAAAATTTATCAATACTTTTCAAAGCAATTTTCAAATCTAAAAACACATGTGTCGTATTGTTCATTCTTTAAATTTTCTATGGAAAAAATGGAACCGTTATAATTAATCACACCATTTAGATGCATTTTGCTTTGTTGAATCTTTATTTATTATAGGCTTAATTTTTAACAACATCTCATATTTTATGCCAAACTGAAAAACTCCTACCTTCCATCCTTCCTAAACAAAAGGAGAGGTAATTAATTTGTTATTTCATTTGAGGTAAATCATTAATCCAAGAATATTCATTTTATTATAATCTCTCTCTATCTCTCTCCCATTTTCTCTCTTTCTCCCTCTCTCTTTTCATCCATACCAAAAGAAAAAAAACCAATTAACAAAGTGGAACAAGTAAAATCTTGTTATTAGAAGGGAGGGTGAAAGGTAAAAAAATAACTCAAAAAGAGAAAGTGTAATTTCTCATATTCATATGTAGAAGAATTTAACCAAACAAAAATAAAGATTAAAGAAAAGGGAAAATGGGGGCATATAGGGCAGATGAAGATTATGATTATTTATTCAAGGTTGTGCTTATAGGGGATTCTGGTGTTGGAAAATCTAACTTGCTTTCTCGTTTTACTAAAAATGAATTTAGCCAAGAATCAAAGTCTACCATTGGCGTTGAATTTGCCACTCGTACCATTCATGTCGATGACAAGATTATCAAAGCTCAGATTTGGGATACCGCTGGCCAAGAAAGGTGACATCCTTCCCCTTTACCATGCTCTTTATATTCATTTAAATAGTGTTGGATATAGAATTTAGACGTTGCAGTTCTGAATTGAGAAAAATGGGATTTATGTATAGTGGCAGATCTAATAATGGATGTGTGGATTTCGACAGAACGCATTGTATCATAGTCAAACTTTATATGTACACATATGTCCAGAAACAAGTATAAATATATACATTTCAGAATTCACTCTCTCAATTCAAGATCTTTCCTTCTTTTATTAAAAGAGGGTTCTAAATTGAGAGAGTTGATTCGATATAGATAGAACGTAATGTTTCACGGTAGAACCTTATATAAAGTATATATGGTTCGACTGTAAAACAGTACATTGAGTCGAATCCTCAAATCCATTGTTAAATCCGCTACTATGTTTAATAAATCCCATCTCCTAATCGATTTTATTACATAAGTTTGTATTTCTATCTATGCATACAATAATATTTTTTTATGCATACATATTAGATGCTGAATTTCCTTAGCTTCTTCGAGTATTTTTTTTATTATTATTTTTGAATCTCGTTGAGGGAAATCATGTTAAATATGAAAAGGGAGAGAAGAAGTGAACTTTTGGTTGAATATGAAAAGATTCCGGGAAAAGAATCCTTCTTCTCCCACTTGCTCTAGTTCAATGATTTTGCAATTGACAATATTTTTCTCCCTATATCGCCTTGAATGTTGTTTCTAATCACCTTTCCAGCCTCATAAAAGATACCGTGCCATCACAAGTGCTTTACTGGTTTATAACTGAGGTATAATATAATTAAGTAATTCAAAGTATATTATCTCTAACCATTTAAGCTAAAGTGGTCGTACAACTCGTTCGTTTCCCAATAAAGGGCAACTCGCTGCATAAAACATCTCGTCTTCACGCAAGGTCCGAGGAAGGACCGCACGCCCAGGGGTGTGATGTAGACAGCCTATCCTAATGCAAGCATTAGTTGTTACGGCTCGAACTCGTAACATATAAGTAACACAAAGACACTTTACCGTTGCTCCAAAGCTCTCCTCCCAAAATCGTTCATTTCGCGATATTTACCATATTTTCCCTCCATAATATTGCCTTGAATCATTGTTTCTAATCATCTTTCTTGCCTCATAAAAGGTACCGTGCCATCACAAGTGCTTATTATCGAGGTGCAGTCGGTGCATTACTGGTTTATGATATTACTCGCCATGTAACATTTGAAAATGTAGCAAGATGGCTCAAGGAGCTCAGAGATCACACAGACCAAAACATCGTTGTCATGCTCGTCGGAAACAAGGCGGATCTTCGCCATCTTCGTGCTGTTCCCACGGGCGAATCAAGTGGTTTTGCAGAAAGAGAGAATACCTTTTTCATGGAAACATCTGCACTTGAGGCACTCAATGTAGAAAATGCCTTCACAGAAGTGCTTACACAGATTTATCGAGTGGTCAGTCGAAAAGCTCTTGATATAGGAGATGATCCAACATCTGTGCCCAGAGGACAAACTATTAACATTGGTAAAGATGATGTATCTGCTGTTAAGAAGGGTGGATGTTGTTCTGGTTAAACAAGGATCGATCCAGAGGCAAATTCAGATTGTAGAGTCTGTGCGTTCAGAATGAGTATGATAAACTTTCTTTTTCGTATATGTATACATAGATTAAGCTAAAAACAATGGATTCAGTTGAACCTGCTCGCCTCTGGATTGATCAACTAAATAGCTGATGATTTGACCAACTTGATTTAATCAGGGATGCAAGTATATACACAGCAAATCCCAATTTCAGCAAATGTAAGTTAGCTAAAGGAACTAGTACATTGTTTGTGTTGGGAAAGGGGGATTGAATTACATTAGCTAAAAACTTGTTTGTTTCATATTTTCATGTGTATTTGTAAATCAAGAGAATTTCAGCTAAGGAAACTTTTTGTAATTCAAGAGAATTTCAGCTAAGGAAACTTTCTTGTTGCCACAGAATACTTGCAATAGAGTGAATGTTACAAATAACACTAAGTTGCATGCATGCATGTCTATTTTGCTGGAAGTTGCATTTTGCTTCACCCAACAAAAACAGAAATAAAGGATCTTTTTTTTTTTATTTCTAAACTTCTCGTATTGAGATTTACAAGGGGTATTATTACTTCTAGCCCACGCTAGAAACTATTTATATTCAGTAGCCGAGAAAGTATATAAAATTTGTAAAATTTTTGTATATAACATACAGAATGTATATATATACAAACAATATATTTTTTTTTTGGCTATTATTTTGAGAACAGCTATACAGTGTCATATGTACAATCCAACGCACTAGTGCTATTGTCCGCTTTGGGCATTAGCCCGCACGGCTTTAAAACGCGTCATTAGGGTCTAATGTTTGTTACTTATATACTCAACATCTCTCATATTTTATCGATGTGGGATTCGCCTAGAGTGTCACAATGTAATCTTGCTGATATAATCACATTAGAACATACATTTAACATAAGAATTAGACCATACTTCTATTTGAAGAATAAGAACTTGACCACAAGGAGTTGTGTGTGTGTCTGGGGGGGGGGGGGGGGGGGTTCGTTAAGCTATTTTCAGAAAAACGTTCTAGAAACTTAATATGTATCAAATACCAAAAATGCCCTTCTAGTAAAGTCAATAAAATATTCACGTCGACATCCTAAGAGCATCTCCCTTATGTGTTCCTTTTGGACATTAATAGGAAACTAGAAACAGTTAATAAGAGGTCTTAGGTACAAACACTTATTAATTCAACTAACATTTTTCAGCTAAAAAACAACAGCAGCAACAACCCAGTATAATCCCACACACCTTAGATGGATTCACGCAGACCTTACCCCTACCTTAGGATAGAGAGGCCGTTTCCGATAGACGCTCGGCACAAGAAGATGAAATGCGACAATAGAATAGTAACAACATAACCAGAAAGATAGTACCAGCGGGCTAAGATAGTACCAGAAAGATGCTTTTTTCAGCAAAAAAGCGTGAAATCTTTATCAAGATTCTTCATGTTAAGGCCAGTCTGCACCATTTGTATACAGATTCAGAGCCCTAAAATTCATGCTTCAATTGTAATACTTAACTCTTTACTTTTTAAACAAGGCAATAGTGTCGACGAAAAGGAAGGGTTATCCAATCACCAGGAAAAACAAACTGTAATATGCCTTGATATGATGAACTTGTGGTAGGGAAATATCTTGTATTTGAGGAATAGTTGATTGGTATCGTTACTTGCGGGCTTCCAGCTTCTTCTGCTCTTTGGCTGCACAAGAACGATTAGTGTGTCAATCCTAGCAGCAGAAACAGAAAGGAAAATTTTAAGAGATCGATATAACCATCTAAGAAATTACCAGCTTTTTCTTCCTCTCGCTTTTTTGCAGCTTCTGCTCTTTGTTGTCGTATGAGAGCCAACCGATCTGCAAAAATAATGGAATAAAATTAACTCTAACATAGCTACATAAATATACAGCAATAGACACTGCTTATGACAGTTCTAGTTATAGGTATCTCACTCCCAGAACTAGTTCATCTCGTCCAATTTTACCTTGAAAGAGTAAACATACAACGTACTCTTCAGATGCCTGCCCAAAGGATAACTATGTAAATTTTTCTTTTCATCAACTAAAATCTTTCCCTAACAAGACCGTTCAGTTCCAATGGCAACCCAGATTCAAGCAACATAATGCTCACAAATCAGGAACGTACTCAAGATTTAATTTTTGATACCAAAATATGCTTCATTTATAATTGCTTCCATGGGATTGACAAGGCATCTTATTTCAACTATGGTATCGAATCCCTTGCACAATTTAGCGAGCAATGCTCCTCGTTGTTTAATGCTATACTCAACCCACCCACCCACCCACCCACCCACCCACCCCAAAAAAAACACCTGGTTTCCTAGGTATAAGATTTTTTGCTAATAAATTTGGGAACGGTGCAACCTACGCAATCACTTATACACAGGGGCGGATCTACCTTAGCCGAAGCGGTGTCACGTGACACCGCTTCGTCGAAAATCTTTACTAATTCTTCATGTATAATTCAAATGAAGAAACAAGAAAACAGTAAAATAAAATAAGTGACACCTCTTGTCTCAAACTGCCGTCTAGCTTAACTGGTCGAAGTCTGAAGATTTCTGTGAAGCGTCCTGAGTTCGAACCTCCGTGGCATCAATCTACGTTTTACACTTTTGTACTACTTGACTAGCACAATACATATTTTAAACTGGAGGGATGCTGCATTGTATGTTGTGTTATTTCTTTTTCCTGAAATTTTTTTTATTTATTCACGTCTAAAACGGTGACACCGCTTACAAAAATTTCTGCGTACGCCACTGCTTATACACAAAAAACATCCCCTGGGGGGGCTTTTAGTTCTTTTTTTGTTGCAGTGTGTGGGTGTGCGAGAGAGAAACTTTACTGATGTCTGTAGTAAAAGTTTTCTAAAGCAGTCCTAACATTTCATAATTTTCAACAAAATACAAATTTCAAGGTCATTTATGCTAATATTGCAAAATTATATATCCCAAGGAGAAAGGATTGGCTGAGTGGTTGAGGTATAGAAGTCCCATCTGAGCTCATCTGCTCTAGCCTTAATGCGCAAGATTATCCAGTACCTATTGTGAGTTACAGCAAGCTACTCGGTAAGTTAGTCACAGAGCACACAAACTGACCTGGACATCACCGTGTATGTGTGTACATAATTTGCGGGTGTAGAGCAAATAGGCATTGGAGAAAAAATGAGATAAGTGGGAACAGAGATACCTAATTTAAAATTCGCAAATTACTTGAACTACATTGTAAACCAAGCTGAAGAGACTCATACTAGGAATATCCTATCAACATGAAACATAACATGCACTAGACACTCGGTTTAGAACATCTGAATATTAAATGTATCAAAAACAAAATATGAATGGACCTACAAAATTTGTCAAATGAAGTGAATGAACACCCAATTTAAAGAAAAAGTGAATGAACCCAATCTGGGCAATTCTTAACTTAATAAATAGAAAAGAAGTCATAGTATTATGTGTGACATTACCTAAATCTTTCCTCGCTTGCTCTGTTTTCCCTTGTTCTTCCAGCCTCATGTACCTTTCATGAGCCTGCTGTTTCTCTATCTCTTCTCTGTGAGCAAGAACCATGTAAAATAACAATAATATAGAAGCTGAAAAGTACTGAAACATATAAAATTTCAACGAACACAACACTAAATCGCCAAAGAAGAGACAAGTCTATAGATCCTTTGAAGGACCTAACTCAAGAGCATTTCAACATTTCTGCCTTCTTTGAATTCAAAATACAAACATCACAAAGAGCATAGAAATCTTGAAATCACTATCCAGATATATTATGTTCAAAGTAAGAAATTCACAAGATAAAATGATGACTCTAAATAGTTTAATATATATGGATAAAGAAAAGGATCGGCAGTAATATACATTTCATACGGTCGAATGTACTAAATAATGATGAGAAAATTCACTATAAATTCAATCAAACCTAGCGTTAGAATGTAACATTTATACGTCGTTGGAATCCAACATATGCATATAACAAAATCCAAGTTTTGTACAATTTCATTAACAAATTAAGTGAATATGTTATGTTCAATAGAATATTTTAGTAGCCATACTCATCATCATCAACAACAACAACAACAACAACCTAGTGTAATCCCACAAGTGGGGTCTAGAGAGGGTAAGATGTACGCAGCCTTACCCCTACCCTGGAAGGGCAGAGAGACTGTTTCCGATAGACCATCGGCTAAGAAAAGATGGAAGAAGCACTGATAACAAATAATAATCATACAAGATATTTAGAAAACTAAACAAGAACGCAAAAGAGAAGATAACAGGAGTATTGGTAGCAAGTAATAACAGTACAAGATATGTCGTGATAACAAACTACGGGAGTACTGATGGCAAGTAATAACAATACAAGATATGCGGTAATAACAACTAAGGATAAAAAGGGATACCATGCTAACAGTAATACTATTGCACTAAGAAAGACAAAGGGTAACGCTCGACTACCTACTAACCTTTTACCCTAATTCTCGACCTCCACACCCTCCTATCAAGGGTCATGTCTTCGGTTAGCTCAAGTTGCGCCATGTCCGCTTGATCACATCTCCCCAACACTTCTGTGGCCTTCCTCTACCCTTCCCCGTACCCCCAAGGCCAACCTCTAGCACCTCCTGACTGGGGTATTGTGCTTCTCCTTTTAACATGCCCGAACCATCTTAGCCTCGTCTCACACATCTTTTCCTCCACAAGGGCCACTCTCACCTTGTCCCGAATAACTTCATTCCTAATTCTATCTAATCTAGTATGCCCACACATCCATCTCAACATACTGATTTGTAAAATATTATACGGATCGAAAATAACGTGCATCATCCAAGAAAAAGGAATCAAAACAAGACAACTCATTACTTTTATTTCGGCCAACTTTGAGATGCAATATACTTAAAATTATACGTCTTCCATCTTTAACTGTCACATGTGCACTTTGTCGACGAGTCACATGCACTTCCAATTAAACTTTGTAAAACCGCTTTCAAAGTGTATAGAATAAGTGTATAAGCGATACATATTCTTGATAATTACTCATTCTATAAACTTCAAAAACAATAGTACAAAGTGTAATTATTAGTCCATGTGACTTGTTGACAAGTGCACACCTAAAAAATGGAAGATATAATTAATCGCTGGGATATGAGGCGGAATCGAAATAGCTAAGACATGCTCGGGGGAGACTATGCCGTTGCTTTATATTCTTGATTTCCAGCATTTCAAGTCCCATGCTGTATGAAATGCTGGAAATCAAGAATATAAAAGCAACAGCCATGAGAGGTAAGAACCAAAAATTAGGAACATCTAGCTTAAAGATCATTTAAGTACAAGTAGGAACATCTAGCTTAAAGATCATTTAAGTACAAGTGAAACGTAGTTGATGCCACAGATAGTAGGAGGCACAAAGTATGCCTTCTTTTTCAACTTCACATGAACAGAAAAGTAAATGACAAAAACTTAAGAGAGATTCATTGTGATAATATCATGCTAGAAAACCAAAAAAAATTAAGCTTCAACAAACCTCTCACGTCTTGAAAGCTCGGTTGTTTTTTCAATCTGCAAAACAGAAGAGCCTCGTTCAAATACAAGTCCGGAAAACAATCAATTCAAAAGATAACAGAATATCACACTATCTTACATCAACATTTTTAGCTTTCAGGTTCTTTGGCTTGACCAAATTAGGGTTCTGAATCTCAATGATACCTTCTGTACCTTTCCTCTTCTGTTTGAACAGCCAAAAGCAAAGAGCAAATGTTAAAGGTAGCTCTTGAAGCCTCATAAAGGAAAAACCACATCCAATTATTAAACAAAACATTTTCTTTCTTTTTTGTTAGAGGACGCGTCATATATAACTGACTTCTGTCTCTCCATCAGATTCTTCTTCAGACTCCTCCTCAGACTCCTCCGATCTCTCATCTTCCTCATGTTCAGCCTCTACCTGAGGAAATCAAATTCATCAAAGAAAACGAATTGCATCAGGGTAAGCCAAAAGTCACTAATAATCATAACAGCCACTAGCTGCCACCGAAGACCAGATTATTCTTTTCATTAAAGAACACATTTAAGTTACAAACCAAGATAACATATACTGATTTGGCGAGAACTATAACATCTTAGGAGACTACCACAAAAAGAGGCATGGAGACTTAAGTTAGTGGCACAGTTTATATCATCAGTCAAGCAACAAAGAGGAGGAAAAATTTATGAGCTGAGGTTCACCTATTCACCCTACAGAGCAAAGGTGGATCCAGAAATGAGTTCTGAATTTTAGAAAAAGCAGCTTACTATGTTCTGGATAAATTATTTATACATATTAAGTGGACTTTTTGACACAAATACAAAATTTTGGCCTAGGGTATTGGACTCAGCCGAACCCGTAGCTAGAACTCTAGCTCCGCCACTGGTTCTGGAGAGAGAGAGAGAAGAGGAGAAGAGAGAGTAGTTGGGGTTGGGGGGGGGGGGGGGGGGGGGGGGGGGGGGGGTGAACCCATTCCTATGCATAAGGAATATATATCATGCATACCTATTTTTACCTCCCAATCAAACATAGTCTCTTGGCTTTACACTAAAAAGGATGATGGCGATACTATCTTTTGTCAGGTTATCATTGAAGTTAGAAGTAACATTTTGAAGCGGCATGCTATCATGGTCACTAATGCTTTTTGACAATTGAATCAGAAACATAATTTTCTGGGTGCTGACTAACTTTGATTGGATATGCATAGGCAAACTTGTAATGAAATACAAGACAATCTAAGACAGGAGTTGATAAAAGCTAAAATAGATTACCTTCTTAAATGTGCGAGGACGAGCAGAAGTACCAGCAACTGCAATACAAAAAGAAGCATCAAAACAAACTCAGTTGACCCTATCATCGTAGCACGACGAACACACATTATTGAGCTCAGAACCAACACCAAGATGTTGGCATTTATATAAAATGGCTTCTTCAGAAGACAAATGGATACATGGCACTTAGTTCCAACAACAAATAACCAAATCCAAGATAAACTTGGCTGATCCTAGATTTTTTTGCTACTCATATATAGACAATTACATATAGAGAGAGCTTCCCAGTAAGATTACACAAAGTGGAAATAGCCTCAAGGAGGATAGCGGAGGGGAGAGAACAAGTCCACAACCTGTGACATGCACCCAAAAGAAAAGAAAGAAAAGAGCAAGGAGGAGGCCAGATATAGCAAAAGTCAGAGCAGATAATCACATGCTTTTAATCAGGCCAAAAATTTCACTAGACTCAAACTCATAAATATTTTAAAAGCACATAGACTATAACTTATTTCTCAGAAATACAAACACCCTACATTAGAACAATCGCACAACAGCACTCCAGCTTGTAGAACTTGAGGACAGTGAGAGTCAAACTGTCCTCTATGCTCTCCTTGCCACAGTTTTCTACTTACAGCAAACCTGTTTTTTTCCTTTTGCTGTTCTCAACAATAAATCAGCATGAATAGCATCATCGGGTTCAAGATTTGAACTAGGTTCGAAATCTATTATTGGTCACGCACCGTATAGGAGTGGGGTGGATGAAATGGAGGTTAGCATCTGGAGTCCTGTGTGACAAGAAAGTGCCACCGAAACTCAAAGGCAAGTTCTATAGAGTGGTGGTTAGACCGGCCATGTTGTATGGGGCTGGGTGTTGGGCAGCCAAGAATTCTCATACCTAGAAGATGAAAGTGGCAGAAATGAGGATGTTGAGATGGATGTGCGGGCACACTAGGCTGGATAAGATTAGGAATGTAGATATTCGGGAGAAGGTGGGCGTGGCTCCCATGGACGACAAGATGCGGGAAGCGAGGCTTAGATGGTTCGGGCACGTGCGGAGGAGAAGCATAGATGCCCCGGTTAGGAGGTGTGAGCGGTTAGCATTGGCAGGTACGAGGAGAGGTAGAGGAGGACCTAAGAAGTATTAGGGTTAGGTGATCAGACAGGAACATGGCGCGACCACAGATTTCCGAGGACATGGCTCTGGATAGGAAGGGGCGGAGGTCGAACATTAGAGTTGTAGGTTAGGAGAGAGTCGAGCGTTTTTTTTCTTTGTTGTTCCGAGGGCAAGGCTGGCCTGTTGATGTTTCGCTATGGGTTGTTAGTGGTTTATGTAGTTTCCTCACTATTTCCTATGGTAGTATTGTTGTTTATTGTTATTGCTTTTACATCTATTTTTTCTATTTATTTTTCTTCTTCTCGAGCCGAGGGTCTTTCGGAAGCAGCCCCTCTACCCCTCCGGGATAGGGGTAAGGTCTGCGTACACTCTACCCTCCCCAGATCCCACTTGTGGGATTTTACTGGGTTGTTGTTGTTGTTGTTGAAATCTATTATTTGTACTTATTCTGTGAATTTTGTAACACATATACAGCTTCCGACCCTAGCTACAGGGTTCGGATGAACCATAACTTGCACACTAAGACCACCCGTTAAATAAGTAATCCACCTAAAGTCCAAAGTATCTACATCTTCAAACACAAAGAACAGTAGCATTTATCTTGATAATCCACTTAGATTAAGCTAAGTTACTTCAATTTTTCCGAATTACTCAGCTAAAAATTCCAAAGCCAAACTCAAAAAGCCCAAATAACTTAACTTCAATCCCTAATCGACATGTAACCAACCAAACCGTTCATACGAAATAACTTTCACCCATGGTAGAAAAATAAAACAAAGACTGAGGCCAAAAAGGGTAATTATTCCAATAGCATAATCAAAAAATGTAATCACAAAATTTCAGATCTCAAAAGTTAATCTAAAAACCAAATTTGACATACAAAGAAAACGCAACAATTAGATGTAAAAACGTAAATACATAAAACGTACTCATCTCCTCGTGAGTGGAGAACTGGCGGCGACCAGTTGGCTTTCCCTTAAACTTTCCTCTTCCCATTGTTAGTTACACTCTGTTGCGCACAGAAAAAAGATGAATAAGAATAAGAAGAAAAGAAGAAGAAGAAGAGGAGGAGGAGCCAACTGAGGAAGGAAATATAAAGTCTGCTACTTTTGAGATTCTTGCAAGTGGGGAATCCTTTATATGCTATTTGTTCTGAACATATAAATTAGATTTTTCTTTTCTTTTCTTTTTTGTTTTTTGTTTATATTACCTTGAATAATTTATTTCTTTGGGGTCCAATAATTTTTAGGAATATTTTAGGTCCGTTTGATTTTCTTAAGATTGTGATTTAGGAATCTCAATGCATATTTGATTATTAAGATATTGTATCCAAATCTGAATATTGAACAAATTAATTTGTTTGTTTTAGTTGTTTGTAGGAGGAACTCGAGGGCCGAGGTGGCGATAATAGGTTGTTCAGGTTAGCTAAGGCGCGTGACTTGGACCAGGTGAAGTGCATCAAGGACTAAGAAGGTAGAGTTTTGTTGGATGAGGGGCTTATCCGTCGGATATGGCAGACCTACTTCTATAGTCTCTTGAACGAGGAAGGGAACAGTAGCATTGTACTAGGTGATTTGGAACTCTCCGAGAATCGTTGTGACTTTGGGTATTGTAGGCGGATTAGAGTTGAAGAAGTTGAGGGGGCTATGCGTAAGATGAGCAGGGGCAAAGCGACCGGGCCAGATGAAACTCTTGTGGAGTTTTCGAAGAGTGTGGGCAAGGCAGGCTTGGAGTGGCTCACTAGGTTAATTAATGTCATTTTTAGAACGAAGAAGATGCCCGAAGAGTGGAGGTGGAGCACGATGGTTCCTGTATACAAGAACAAGGGTGATATCCAAAATTACAATAACTATTGGGGTATCAAGCTGCTTAGCCATACTATGAATGTCTAGTAAAGAGTGGTAGAGCTAAGGGTGAGAAGGAGTATGTCTATTTCCGAGAACCAGTTTTGGTTTATGCAGGGGCGTTTGACTACAGAAGTCATCCACCTTGTTAGGAGATAGATAGAGCAGTATAGGAAGAGAAAGAATTACTTGCACATGGTGTTCATCGACTTAGAAAATGCGTACGATAAAGTTTCGATGGAGGTTTTGTGGAGATGTTTGGAGGCTAGAGGTGTATATGTTGCCTACGTTAGGTTGATTAAGGACATGTATAATGGAGTAAAGATCTCAGTGAGGACGGTGGGTGGGGAATCGAACCATTTTTCGGTTATGATGGGGTTGCATCAGGGGTCGGCACTCAGCCCTTTTTTTGTTTGCTCTGGTGATAGACGTACTGACGCGCCACATCCAAGGGGAGGTGCCGTGGTGCATGCTATTTGCATATGATATTGTATTGATGGATGAGACGCGAGACGGTCTGCAAGCACAATTAGAGGTATGGAGGCAGACCCTGGAATCTAAAGGTTTCAAGTTGAGCAAAACCAAGACAAAATACTTGGAGTGTAAGTTCAGTGGTGAGACTCAAGGAGGGGAAGGGGAGGTAAAGCTAGACTCGCAGGTCATCCCTATGAGAGGGAGTTTTAAGTACCTTGGGTCTATTATTCAGGGGGATGAGAAGATTGATGAAGATGTCACACATCGTATTGGGGTGGGATGGATGAAATTGAGACTCACTTCCAGTGTTTTGTGTGACAAGATGGTGCCACCGAAACTTAAGGGTAAGTTCTACAGATTAGTGGTCAGATCAACGATGTTGTATGCGGCGGAGTGTTGGCCAATCAAGATCGCTCATTTCCAGAAGATGAAGGCAGCAGAGATGAGGATGTTGCGATGGATGTGCGGGCACACCAGGTTAGATAGGATCATAAATGAGGTTATTTGCGACAAGATGGGTGTGACCCCTATTGAGGACAAGATGCGGGAAGCGCGACTTAGGTGGTTTGGTCATGTGAGGAGGAGGAGCACAGGCGCCCTAGTGACGAGGTGTGAGAGGTTGAAATTGGAGGGACTACGAAAAGGTAGAGGTAGGCTAAATAAGAGGTGGGGAGAGGTGATTAGGCAAGACATGGCGCAGCTTCAGCTGACCGATGACATGATCCTTGTAAGAAAGGTATGGAGGTCGTGGATTAGGGTAGTAGAGAAGGTAGTCTAGAGCATTCATAATAGTAGTATTGGCACACAGTCTCACTTTCTGTTGGTAGTAGATTTTTATGACTAACCATTATTTTCTTTCATTGTTGATCACCTTACTATCTTGTTATTTTTATTCTGCTTTTATATGACTTTTTGGTACTGTCTCGTCTTGTCTATATTTTCATTAATGTGGTGCTTATGCTTTCCTGAGCCGATAGTCTATTGGAAACGGACTCTATCCTCACAAGGTAGGGGTAAGGTCTGCGTGCACAATACCATCCCCAGACTCACGGTGTGGGATAATACTGGGTATGTTATTATTGTTTTTCAGCATCCTAATATGTACAATTAAACTATCTATAAACTAAAAAAAGTTTAAAATTTGAAATATCTTAATAATAAATTATTCTCATAAAATATTAGAGAAAATATTAACACTATGTTTGGATCATTGTTCCATATCGTTTTATAATGTATTGTATTGTATTGTATCGTATCGTATTGTACCGTACCGTTTAATGAATACAATGTTTGGATATATTGTATTATTTGTTATTGTTAAATAATATTTTTTTGTTTGGTTTGATTGTATTGTATTGTACTGTAACTGATAAGTTTACTAAAATACCCTCAATTGTTTAAATATTAAATTTATTAAAAATTATGTATCAAAATAATTTTAAAAATTAAAACAGAAGAAGGCAAAACAACTTAAGAAAGCAGAACAAAGGAGCGAGACATAAGAAGGCAAAATGAAGGAGCACAGCTAATTAGAATTGAGTTAAAAGCAAATTAGGAGAAAAAATAAAACAGAAGGCGCCAAAACACATTTAACATTGGTCTGAAAAAAAACGTTAGGTTATAGGTTGGAGATTTGGAGTTAAAATAGAAAAAAGATAAAGGGTAAAATAGAATTGTGGAGTAATAAGTTAGGGCATAATTGGAAAGAAAAAGAGAAAACAATTCCACCACACCAAATCGGTTGTTTCAAAAAATGGGACTTTTCATTGTTCCGCAACAATGAATTTAACAATACAATACAATCAATTTCAATGAAACAATCAAAACAAACATTGTTTTGGGATAACAATACAATACGATACAATAAGGAACAACCATCCAAACAAGCTGTAAATTATATGGTTATGTATAAACTATTTGATTTGATGAATCACACTCTAAAAGCTAGCGGTGGTGGTGGATAGCAATGATAGTTATAGGGGGGTGGGTCATGGTTGGTGAAGGAGGCTAGGAATTGTGGTGGCGTAGGGTGTCCCGATGGTGGTTGTTCAATGGTGACAAGTGCTGACATACGCGCAATGGTGTATGGTGGTCGCTAGCGATGGAAGTGGTTGGTGGTGATGGAAGTGCATTAAAGCTGGTGGAGAATTGGCCGGTGACCGTGACTAGTGGTGAAGGTGGCTATTATTGGTTGTTAGCAGTGGTTGTTGTGCGTGGAGGCTAGTGGTGGAGATAGAAATGATTGGTGGCGGTGACTAATGATGGCTACTGCAGATGGTTGATGATGGTGGCTGATAGTAATGATTCGTAGTTTAGTGCTAATGGCTGAGAATGGAGGTCGCGTGGGGAAGGGTAGTCGCAAAGGTGGTTATTGGTGGCAGGTTGTGTATTGGTTGGTGTTGTTGATGGCTGTTGATATTGGTCGGAAAAGATGATGTGAAGCCATGACAGTTGATATTGGGAGTCCCAAAATTGAGAATATTAGATGGTCTTTTAATGCCTCATTTAAGAGCCTATATGAAATTTGGTGTTTGCATTCGCCAACCAATCAAATGCGCGGCCATCGAATTGATTGGTAGTGTTCATTTTATAGATTAAAATTCTGAAGTACACATTGGGGGTCATTAGTGTAATAGAATTGCTTTCAAAAAGCTCTCAATTTTAAGCAATTTTTAGTTCTTCCACTTTCATGATCTTCCGCTAATGGTAACATCAACATTTAGTATGACATGTTACTGAAGTTAAGGAATGCAGCAAATGAGGAACTTAGTTTTTCGTTTTCAAATCAAAGGTCTGGTGGTTTCACAGTGAACTTTTTCTGTAACATCTTACTGAAGTACTGAGCAAAGATGCCTGGCTAAAGCTTCTCTGTTTAGTCGAAACCAGAAAGATCATAACATTTTAGAGGAAGCAGTTCTTGCATGGAACAAAAGTTTATTATTTTTTTTTAATAACCGTAGTGTCCGGGCCAGCTTGCGCATACTGGAACAAAGGTTGTTACACATATTCAATGTTGTTCTTCCTTTGGTGCTTACCCGGGGGGAGGGGAGGAAGGCCTTTGAATTTACATGGTTAGAGATGGACTGTGTTTTACTCCCTTCTGCAAAATGGTTTTCGCTGCGTTGTGAGTGGACACAATTCCTACAAAGACCGAGGAAGTTCTTCCTTTGGGTTGTGTTAAGAAGTAGTTCAGATATTGTCTCATTTCTTCAACCACACTACTCCGCAGTGATGCCAAGAGAACTCACATGACAGTTCAGTAAAGATGGAACCCAAGGTACTGTAAATTCCCCTAATCCTTTATACCTGGAACAAGGCTTGCCCATCTATGTAACTAGTTGTACAAGTATTGAATGTGAAGGTGCAGACATGTTCATCTACAATTTTCAGCAATCGCATTAACTGGTCTTACCAAAGCAAAAGAACTTTGAGGATTTACTGACATCAATAATTCCAGTACAATAACATCACCAGGGTGGCTTATTTTGAGACCTCGTTCTATCAAGCCTGCATCCAAGAATACTCCTTAATGATATCTTCGTAGGATAGACAATCAATTAAAGAAAAAGCAAGTGTGAATGCTAGTATACCAGGAGAAAGTTTTGTTCCTCCATAGAGCTCTTTCACCAAAGGGTTTGCTGCCCATTGATTAACAGCAACACGACTCGTAGGCTGGAAGCCAACAATTTTACCATCCGCAGACAAAACAACCTGATTGGCATACGTATATAAGAACATCAACTATGATAAACACATCTAACCCAATGACTTCCAGGAACATATGAACTAGTAATTGAAAATGTTCATTTATAGCCTTATGTTTAACTGGCAACTATAGACTTGGGAACACCCAACCACAGAAACTAAGCATGAGAGAAAATAGAATTGACATCAAGAAATATTTTAGAAGCGGCAGAAAAGAAATATACATCTAGAAGTGGTATGAAGTTACCTAAACACATATACAGCAAGAGTTGAAATCCAGATGAGAATAGTTAGTTAAAAAGAGCACAGAAAGGCTTTGACAGGAAAAAAAAAAAAAAAAAAAAAGCTAAAATCAAAAGCGTTATGAGCAGAGAAAAAACAATGTAGCAATGACTATCTTCAGTGCTTAAATTTTGTAATTCAGAAATCCTACTAACTCAAAATGCAAATCTGACCCCAAATAGCTAATTTCAGGAAATAGTAAATTATTTATCAAGGGGGGCCTACAGTTGTGAACAGGATTATGGGAAGACCTAAGCTAGATCAAGTTTTCAAGATTGACAGCTAGCTTGTTTAGTTATGCATGTCCATAAAATGCAGTTGTTAGCTCTTATATTCCTCACTTGTTCCCGATTGAAAATACATGGTTCGATGTTCATACGACCAAAGCCTAACCTTGTCCTTGATTCTGATCATGACTAGCATGCAACCATGCTAATGCTCATTATAATTATTTTAGTAGTTCTAAGTTCACAACAGAAATAACTTGGCAATAAACCCAGAAAGTGCATCCAAAAAAGAGACCTGATAACTGGCAATATCTTGTGCAGCTGCCTTCATCTCATCTTCAATTCCTTCTGAAGGCGTAGAGCTGGAATTAAGATCTAAATCTTTGGGGTCCATCTCATACCTCAGGTATACTGGAAGCTCCCCAATCGACGCAGAGCTGCCAGAACCCATCACTATGTCTCCAGGCCAGCCGTAAAATTCTTTGATTCTCCTAATGATCGAGACGCAATATTCTTCCGACTACAGAAAGAAAGAGCACTTGGCACTGTGAGAACAATATTACCTACTGATTAAAAGAGAAAGAATGGCTAGTATAAAATAAATGTGGAGAATAATGCAAAGTCTGTGTCATCTATTAGATGGTCAGAATAATTATGAAGCACAAACAAATATGGAAGAAACTTCTTATTTTGGACAAGTAAAAGAATTGGATAGTATTAGTTTCATCTTCTTGCTGAGGAAAACCAATTAATTCTTGAATGACACAATAAATAATCCTAGCATTTTAAGCACAGATGAGGTAAACTACTTTGAAGAAGTAACTGTTCAAAACTGAACAAATGAACTCCGAAAAGACAAGGCCAGTTTAACTAATAACATCCATACCTTGCTAGATGCCATAGGCTGATGCTGAATAGAGATCATGTCACATGAGTTGACTGGATAAATTTCCTGGTGATAGTTCTTTCTACTGGGGATATGAGGAAGATAACATTGACTAAGAACTCTTATAGCAACAAGAAAAATTCCACTTGCAAGGACCATGGAGATTGCCTTTGACATAGAAATGCTTCTCTAGAATCCAAAAAGAGAAAATATTATAGTCCATTTGATTCAACAAGATATCCTTTGTACTTAAAGTAGTCATTTAGAGAAAAGAAAACTTAAATCCATATCTCATACTCCCAACAGATAGAGAATGTGTGAATGTGAAGGCAAGATCACAACACCAACTAGCCATTCAATGCCTCACGTGTTAGACACGCGCGCACACACAGAGGTGGAGCTAGGATTTCAACTTTATGGTTTTTGGATTTAGAACGACGACTTCAAATGCTAATAACTAAGTCTAAATATAGTTTTTGTACAATTAATTTTTAAACACATACACTATTTGAGCAAAAGCTAACCGCGCGCGCACACACACACTCTCATTTGGACTCCCTCCCCCCTTCCAAAAGGGAGTTCAAATATTTCAAGTAGCTCACTTATGATGGTGATTCATTATCACTTCATGGATAATAGCAAATAAAGCAGGCATATAAAGACCTAACACATGCCATACCTTGCTAGAGGGCAAGTTGAAAGATTTTGCAACAACACCGGATGACAACTGCTTGTTGGGAAGTGTATAGACATCTTCATAATACATATCTAGAATGTCACTTAGACCAACCTGAAAAAGTAAAACAACAAAAACTAGTTGTTAGAAATAATCACATGCCCAGCAAGTGCGGACTTTGCATGAAAATTGTTCAAGTAGATCACACCAAAACTTAATCTGAATCTTATAAGCAGACCAAAACGTCTAGGAAGATAGAAGCACTTGATGCATTTAGAAAAAGTCGATTGACTTCATGCACTCCAGTTCCTAGCACTATTAATACACACATGACACATCTAGTGGGAGGGCTTATCAACTAAAATAAAAAGGATGACCTAATACATGTCTCACCGTTAGAGTCAAAGTTGCAAATTTAAAACCTTATGCTTTGGGGAAAAAGCCTTTGTGAAAGAGTAGAAGACTAAAGTGGCCATATCTTCAGCATCTACATTTTTGTTCAAATAATATTGACACAAAAAAAGGTAACCATATGTGTGGAACCAGAGAGCAATTAAGAAAAAGTATCTTGAGTGGCGCTTACTGGAGCTCTCAAGGGGAAGGGAAAATGAAAATGAAACTAAAATGAAATGTGCAGAAGGTAATCCATTTGCAAATTTACTACCAATGCATGAGCTTACAAACTCCACATTGGGTGACTGATTTTCCTTTGATGCTAGGGAAGCCACAGATAAATATTGGAAGAATTTAATGGTTGTGAATTAATCAATCGACAAAGCAAAGCACAAGACAGTGAAACAAATACTCATAAAATACATGGAACTCTGGATAGTCGTCCACAAATACGAAAACAACATGAAACACCAAGGGTAAGTAACATCTATTAGATTATGTCCTGCCTAACAGATGCCAAAATATAAAGGACCTATCTAAGTTATCTTCATATAGAACTTTTTGATGAAGTATCTGATGTATAATAGACGTCCCATTAACCCTCAATGAGATGCAAGAGACAGAGATGCAGAGAACATGGAGCTACCATTTGGGAGTGAGTTAGGAAAACCTCCCATGTGTTTGTTGCTGATTCCTTCCACCCTTCAAATTTCACATTCCGAAGTTTCTCAGCATCAATCTCCAATTTGTAAGCAGGTACATACTCGCTCAGCCAAGAAATAAATTCAGGGCCTCCAATTTGTTCCAATTTGGAGTATGCACTTGAAGTTAACCAGTTGCTCGTCCATCTTCCCTCCCTTGGTCTGTAATTTGCCCTTTCTGAAGAAAATTTCTGGAGCAAAATATTGGCATTTGCAACTATCTGAGATTCCAGTAAGTTGTATAGAGTAACAGAGGAATCTTTTGAGACAATACATTTATGCTTGTGAAACCAAGGGAAAAACTTCTGCACTGCTCCTCCAGGAGTATCCTTAAGCAAATGTCTTCTAGTGCTTTCAAGAGAAGAAAGACAAATAACCTCTGAAATAACAGAGATGACTCGTTCGTCTGATGAGGTGATGGCAAAAGATGGAGGTACCTGCTGATAGGAAAGGAATAACAGAACTGAACCTATCAGTATCATGTAGCACCTGCAAGGCAGACATTATAAATCTGATATTACAAAAGAGTATAATGAATCAAAAGACAGTTTAAAAGATAGAAACACAGACTGGGAGGGAGAAGGCATAGGTAACGTCCAAAAATAAAAAGTTCCCCACCTGTCTAGGTGTTTCAAGATCATCCATATTTCTTTCTGCTCCTGGTATAAAAAGTACCAGTTCAAAGTTCCAAAGATGCTGCAGAAGCACTTGTCTAAATGTCATGGCAAGTATATTTGTAGATGTCGTGCCTGACAGAATCTCTTTAGTTAGGGCACTTTTAAGCTTTTGGGCTTTCTCCACAACTTTTCTTGCAGGTAAGAACTGCCAGAATGTCAAGCTTTAGACACACTATAATAATATTTTGTAATACATTATTCATATCAGCAATAAACAGAACATGCAACCAAATCAAACATAAGGGCAACCGTCTACCAATATCTGGGACGATAGGCATTAAACTTCGGCAAAGAAAGTGAAGACCACCTGCATCATTATTAACTTCAACACCAAGGCTTCAAGCTATAAGCAATGGCTTAAATTTAGTAGTGTATATATATGTATGTGTGTGTGTGTAACAACCTAAAAGAAAATTGTTAATCAACTGCTCGAGTAAAAATATAAATATTTTAAAAAACAAAGAAAAAGGTCCCATTCAAATGAAAGATTGAATAATTACAACCCATCCAAAGACCACAATTATATATGTAATCCTATTGTTCTTTTTCTATTTTTTCTTTCATAGGATATGATCTACTACTCTTGTTTGTTACTCCATTAGCTTCTTTAAAAGAAAGGTTTCGAATAATAAAACTACTTCCACAAATATGAAAAGAAAATTCCTATAAATTGAAGGAAAAGGTACATTGGTTGTGCTGGACATATTTCAGCTTGAATAACAGCTTAATCATCCTATGAGCTATGTAAGCAGCATACAAATACAGACCCTGGGCCTTTAGTTTAGTGGTAAGAGTTCAGTACGTGATGTGTGGGTAATGCGCACGTCACGAGTTCGAACCATTGGCTTATTATCCACACTTAGCTCAGACCAAAAAGATAATTTGATGTTGCATAAAAGAAGCAAAGATCCACACTTGGCTATTACCGAAAGAAAACTTGGCATGCACAAGCTAGCATTTTGGAGACAAATTAATTTACTTGGATCGTTCTCAAAAGAACTCAACACATTTCAAGCCTTCATGTCTGCTCTGGCTAGGTCTCGAAGAACTATTAGCACCACGTATTGCATTTACATTAAGATGATTTGTGACAACTAATTTCCACGTCAAGTGTGAAGATTAATGAATATCAGGTCCAAAAAAGTGCTGCTTCCTTTGTAATTATAAACAGATGCCTATTGTCGGTGAGTCTAAAGATGTAGGATACAGGGCCTAACCCATGCACGAAACATTCCCATACTACCACAGGGACAGGGGAAGAGTGGGCATGTATTGAATGCACCTTCCCTACATTTCTACAAAGAGGCTTTTTTCACGCCTCAAACTCGTGCTCCATAGGCCACTAAAGGAGCAACTTTATTGATGTCAGGGGCGGAGCTAGTGTTTGATTTACAGGCTCAGCCTCGAACACAGTAGCTTTGTTCCAAAGCTTAAATTTATCTTAAGAAATTCATTGAATGTGTACAAATTATTAATTTAGAACGGACTAAAATCTTAAACTCATAAGCTTCAAATTCTGGCTCAGCCTCTTAATTTGTTGCAGCAAGGCTCGCCCTCACTTAATCATTTAGAATACAGAGAATTAAACTTAATTTCCCAATGGACTAAGCAAATGAAATTAATTTCACATATGCACACATGAAGCCCAATTATTCAAACAGAAGCACAACTACATTAGTGCCTCTAAATAAACTCACCAGTCTAGTAGAAACAGTACTATGCTCATCACAAGGCCCAGGAAACAACGTTTCAACAACCATAGCTGGCATACCGGCGGCAATATGTTCATTAGCAGCTTCACCGCCGTCCGCCGCAGCAGCAGTGAGAGCCTGCTGGAAGTCAACAGCTCCAACTAAGCTGAGTCGAGCTAGGTCGTTCTCGTAAGTTCTCACACAAGGTGGAACCGATTTCTCGGCTCCGACAAAATCAGCTACAGCTTCTAGAATATTCTCTTCTGTCATAAATGGCTTCTGTGCCGAGCAGGAAATGGCAGTGCGGGAGTTTTTGGGAAATCGGAAGGGTAATTTGGGGAAGTGAAGTGGCCATTTTTTTATTAGGGAATTGGTTTTGGGTGAGAGAGAAGTTGAGGGAGACAAAGGAAGGGTGAGAGTGAAAGCCATTGTAGAAGCGGTTACAGAGGGGCTAGGGTTTATTTCAAAAATCGGCGCTTTCTGGCGGGGTCCTCCATAGTTGGGGGCTTAGCTGGGTTGTAGTGCACGGAGGGGTTTATTATTGTTGAGGGTTTTTCTGGTTGAGAAACATTACATTACTTATTTCGGGATTAGTTATTCTTGGATTAATTATTCTATTCTACAAAAGGTACTGCAATTCCGAAATAATTAATCGTCTATCTTAACTAAATGTAAGATAAATTTATCTTAAATTTAATCTCGAGAATAATTATTCATTATCCCTCGTACCAAATGACTAAGAGCCCGTTTTAAAAATAATTTTCTTTTTTTCCAATTTTCTTTTTTAAATCAGTGTTTGTTCATAAAATTTCCAATTTTCAATTGAAGATGCATTTTAGAAATTTTCGAAAATTTAAAAAACTCCAAAAAACTATTTTTCAAAATCTTCACTCAAATCACTCACAAAACTTCAAAAGCAATCCAAAATTATATTCATGTCCAAACACAAACTCTAAATTTCAAATACAATTTTCACTTGAAAAAAAAAATTCTCCATGTTTTGAAATTTTACAATTCTTATGTCTAAACGCCCACTAAGGTGTTTATATGGAAATGCTGAAGAATAAAAATCGGATGCAAGTTTAAGTAGCTACGAGGGCATTTTTCCTTATTTGAAGATATAAATTTGTGTTCTATTCATACTAAGATGGTTTATGCCTGAGGATATTCAACTTGCTAGGAATTAGGGGTCGTTTGGTAGCCGGTTAGGGGAAAAGTTATTCATGTATTAGGGGTAACATAACTTATACCATGTTTGGTAGCCATTAGTTATTTTGTAAAAAATTCAGCATAACTAATAACATATTTGGTTGGCATTTTATAATTCTACATAAATAATACATGTATAAGTTATGAGTCAATCTGTGTGTTATTTTATGCGGGGGAGAAGATGGAATAACTAATACATGTACTAGTAATACATGGATAAAATACTGAAATGACAAATTTACCCCTATCAATTTACCACAAATCATTGCCATTTTCTCCAGCAAACTTTTCATTGTTCGTTTTCTACCGCAAATAACAATCTTGTACTATGATATTTTTGAATTACTAAATAAAGTGTGTAACAATATAGCAAGAAATTCAACCAAAATCCAAGAAAGAATTATATACACTACAATTAGCATGACCTCTTTTTTGAATTTCACGTGCACTATTCAAGGACTAATCCTTGCATAACTAATGCATGCATAAGTAATCCCTACATTACTTATTCTTGCATAACTAATACATACATAACTAATACCTGCATAACTAATACATGTATAACTAATACCTGCATAACTTTAACCGGCAACCAAACGACCCCTTAGGGTAAAATGGCATAAAAGTATTCGGACCGACCTTCTCTTTTATTTGTAATTGGACATGCCCGAAACAAAGCAATCCTGGCATGAGAATCCTCTTGATTAGGGAGATCTAAATAAGACCCATGCGGTATGAGAAAAGCCCACTTGACTTCGGAATGCCGACCTCCCTTAGTTTAGCCCTTTACGACCTTTTTCGTTGGAGGAACCTTTTATAAACCACTATTTAAGAAAATAGCCCATGCGTTAAAATTTTAAAAGCACGCTGGTTAGAATTCCTGACGATTACCAAATTTTTCGGTCACAATGTGAAAAGTACTGGTAATTAGTCAAATTTTTGTGGCCAATCGAAGAAAAATATGGTAACCAACAGAATTTTATGATAATCACCATAACTAAATATATTGTGAGTATACAATTTATATACAATAGACTGTCATTATACAAAATATATACAAATAGACTGTTAGTCACTGTACAATTTATATACAATAAACTATCACTATACAAAATATATACAAAATTGACTGTCACTATACAAAAAATAGACAAAATAGATGTCACGGCCCGGAATTCCCACCCTCGGGAACGCGATGGCGCCTAACATTTCACTTGCTAGACAAGCCAACACTTGAGTAAACTTAACCATTTTTAACAAATTAAATTAAACGCATGTCTATTACTGAAATAAAAGTGCGGAAAACCCGTAACAACTGAATTATCTAATTACATCCCCGAATCTGGTCTCACAAGTGCACGAGCTACTAGAATAATACAGATAAAGGTCTGAATAAAAGTAAAGTTGTCTGAAAGAAATACACAGTTAAGATAAAGTAGAAGGGGACTTTAGAACGACGGGTGTTGTGCAGTTATACCTCAAGTTTCTTCTGGGTAGCTGGATCCGAGCAAGTCTATGGTACGCCGCTGGGACCAACTTCAAAATCTGCACAAGAAGCGTAGAGTGTAGAATGAGTACAACCGACCCATGTACTACATAAGTGTCGAGCCTAACCTTGACGAAGTAGTGACGAGGCTATGACAAGACACATACGTAAATAGCTTGTACAAGTATATACATATACGAAGCAATAATGAACACAGTAATTAACAATTTACAAATTTGGGAGGGAACATGCAAAGGGGAATGATATAAAAATTCCAACAGGAGAAGTGCCACGTTGTAACGATCCGACAGGTCGTTTTGAGCAATTGCGTCCGGTTCGACAGTTTAAGGTCACCAGTAGCTTTACACAGTGCTATCACGACTCCTTCGGAGGGATTTTGGGTCGTAACACACGTAGCAGCCAAATAATTCATCAACAATAAAAATAGGTAGTTGATAATATAAAAATGGCATGGCACCACCCTTCGTGCTTTTACTCTCATCCTAACCATGAAAAGATGAATAAATAATATAAATGCACGGCATCACCCTTCATGCTTTAACTCTCTTTCTTACCACAATATGATGAATAAATAATTTGAATGGCACGGCATCACCCTTCGTGCTTTTACACTCTTCCTTACCATAACAATGATAATCTAAATTCGGAAGAGTATTTTAAATGCGGAGATTATACTTATCATTCAATTTGATACCGGGGTACCGATGTCACCTTCCAAAATTGTCAACAATAATTATGTGAGAAATAATTTCATGAATAATGATCAAATAAATAATAACCTATCTCAAACATAATTATCTTAATTAAATAGGCAATTATTCACTAAGAACCAGTTCTGCCCGCATGCTTTGACTCAACCACAATGCATAAGTACTCGCCACTTCACATGTATGTTATACCCTCACATTAAATCATGCAGCAAATAGACAAACAAGTCCTATTCCCTCAAGTCAAGGTTAAACACGACACTTACCTCACTTCGTAACCAACTCAAGATTCCAATAAACCCTTGTCTCGCGAATTAGTGTCCGAAAGCCTCGAATCTAGTCACAAACAATTCAATATACTCAACATGAATTATAGGAATCAATCCCATATGAAATTGCTAATTTTCCAAATTAAAATCTGAAAAGTCAACTAAAAGTCAACATTGGGGCCCACGTCTCGGAACCCGACAAAATTTACGGAATGAGAACACCCATTCTGAGACGAGTCCAACCATACAAAAATTATCAAATTCCGATATCAAACCGCCCTTCAAATCCTAAATTTTCGTTTTTGGAAGATTTGTGCAAAAAGCTCATTTTCTTCCATTAAATTCACGGGTTCATGATGTAAAAAAGTATGGAATCATGAAACATAATCAATTTAGGATAAAGAACACTTACCAAGTTCAAACTCGTGAAAAATACCTTTGAAATTGCCCAAATCCGAGACTTAAAATTCAAACATGAGCAAAAACGTTGAACTCCCGAATTTTAAGCAATCTGCCCAGGCAAGTCGCACCTCTCAAATGCGACTTGTCTCATTATTTTCAGGCAAAAATTGCAGTACCAGTCTTCAGTAAATCGATCATAACTTTCTCTACAAATGTTCAAATGACTAATCGTTCACCTTTCTGGAAAGTAGACTCAAAGGGCTATAACTTTTATTTTTTGATCATCTTCAAATTCCTTATAGATTGCGAGACATAAGCTTCCAAAGTCAGCCGTGTGCAACAGAAATTTCTCGCGATGCACATTGCTGTAGCCAAAAATCAACAGTTAAAAATGGCATAGAAATGATCCGAAACCACTCCGAAACTCGCCGGATCCCCTCGGGACCCGTCTGAACATACCAACAAGTCTCGAAACATATTACGGACCTTCTTGAGGTCTCAAATCATACATAACAACGGCGAAACTACAAATCGAGCGTCGATTCGGACTTATGAGTTTATGAAATTTTCAATTCTATAACTCGCACCGAAACATGTCAAATCAATTCGGAATGAACTCAAATTTTGCGCACAAGTCCAAATGACATAACGAAGCTACTGAAATTTCCGGAACCATAATCCGAACCCGATATCATCAAAGTTAATTCTCGACCAAACTTTTGAAATTCAAGCTTTATAAAATCAAACCTTTTCTTTTCTTCCATAAACTAACGGAAAACGTGCCTAAGCACCTCGGAATAACTTCAAATTTTGTACAAAAGTCATAAATATTGTTATGAAGCTGATCGAACTCTCGGAATCCAAATCGGGACCTGGTATCAACAAAAATCCAATTATGGCCAAATTTAGGAATTCTTTAAACCTTTAAATTTCTAGTTTCCGTTAAATGGCGATAATTCGAGCTAGGTGTCGATGCCCCCTTTTTCCTCCGCATCAGGTTTATGACATTTGGGAGGACAACTCGTTCCCTTTTGGGGATTTGGGTTTAAGAGAAGTGAAGAGTCACCTCCGCGAAGGGTTTTGTTTGGGGAACCAGAGATTGGGTAAGGGCTTGAAATTATTCCAAGGGGAAGGTGTTAGGCACCCCTTAGAATCCACTAGTGTGGTTCCCGGCCAAACTATTGTTGTGACTTTAGGGTACAAATAACATATAGACAAATAAGGCTTCAAATAAGAGGGGATTTTCACATAAATGTTGCAAATAGATGGAGTGAAAAGAAACGAAAGAAAAGCTGAATTTTGAGAGAAAAATAGTTTGAGAAATTTGAAAATAAACAATTAAATAAACAAGTAAAAGAGAGGGGGGGTCCTAGGTTTATAAATAATATGGATCACCCCACACAACACCCGGTAACTACTTATACACATGGTGTTATCGCGTGGTCAT